AGATGTTTTGAGAAGGTGTTTTCTTCTGCTTCAAGTAACTCTAAAAGAGAGTGTGTAAGTTTGAATTTCAATAAAGCTTTTAAGTGCACTGAGAATATTTGAAGACTTACCAAGATTGCATGCCATCTTGATCATCCAAAGAGTCATGATAAAGTGTGTGGATTTGTGTGAGCTTTCAGCAGATGTGTCTTTGTTGATCATGGTGCTTGGATGTACTCTCAAGAAGTGAGAGGATCTGTAAGAGTCAAGATTGTTTTTACAGTATTTGACGATGTTCAGAAGGTGTGCTCATCCAGGAGATATGGTTATCCATGGCAGAGGGAGTTAGAGCTTGTCTATGGATCGTTACTACAATAGTGCAGTTTTTGTGAAGCTTGCGTGTGTTTCAAGCTTGTGGAGATTGTCTGCCTCTTGAAAGATTGTGATGCCAGACAACGTGTCGTGACATGAGCTACAGGGTGTAGTTATTTGTGACATTATCAAGGCATGTGTGGTTGTAGCTGATTAGTGTTGCCATATCTTAGTGATAGTGTTTTCATCTGAAAGAATTTATTTTTCTCTACAGATTGAGGAAGGACTCAAAGGATGTTTTGGATTGATGAATGGGAAATATCACACAGTTGTTGTTTTGGTATCTCGGTATGTGTCATTCCTATTGACTGAAAATAGTGTATTTAAAGTCTAGTGAGAGGCATTGTGATTATACTTCAGAACATATCGATAATTTTGTGAAGCATCCTTGACTGGTGGTTGATTTGTTCTTAAGTTTTCTCTTATGCCACCATTGATGTTTTAAGTTTCTGGGTTGAGGGATAGAGTTGTTTATCTTCTTCCTCATGTACACCATGACTTCAGAACTTTCTCTTTTATCCCGAGGTTGTTATTATGTGGTGTTAAGTTTGTTTGGGTTGATGTGAAAAGATGTTGGGTGTGATGTCTTGACACCAATTTGTCTGAAGATGCTGACTTTGTCATATTCTGGCTAAAAGGGGGAGAGTATATGTGCTAGAATATGTGATGTGTGGGTAGTTTTTAAGGGGAGGAAGATATGTGTTAATTGTTGATTCCCTTAAGAGAGAGAGAGAGAGAGAGAGAGAGAGAGAGAGAGAGAGAGAGAGAGAGAGAGAGAGAGGAGGGAGATAGAGATAGAGAGATATAGAGAGAGAAAATTTATGTTGGACTGTGTTAGACTATCATGAAGAAGTCCTATTATTGATGTTGTGACATTGTGAGTAAAGGCAGTAAAGACTGGAGACTGTCAAAGATGTGAAGACTAATGATTGGCTACTTCTAATGTTTTTAGTTTATAGTTGCTGCTGAGTGTTTCGTATTGTTTAACCTTTGATTTATTGTGTCATTGCTTTTGTATGCAAAGGTTATGTAAATTAGTTTTATCCAAAATAAGCAAAATGGAGAGATTGTTAATTCTCTGAATTATATGATTGGCATTATATTTGGTAAAACTAATATAGCAACAATATGTTAAATATGAATTTCTAACTTGTAAAGAAAACAGGTTGAAATTATATTTTATGAAGAAACTTGTTGAGATGAGATGTCTCATCATCTGGAGCAACATGTTGGATAAGATGTCCTATACAGGGTCATTCGATATCGCGCATGTGCTGAGATGGAGTGTTGGATTCTATTATGATTTAACAGGTGCAAAATATTCTGGGAATATTATGCAATCATATGTGGCATTATTTTGTTAGGTGTGGAAGATTCAATCAGAACTCAAGAAGAAAGCATGCTTTCTAAATATGGAGACATTTTAGGAAATATTTGATTGAAGACCTATTTTGTTGTAGAATCTTGTGCATACTTGTAACATCTGATATGTTTTGATTTGAAGCCTAAATCCAGTTGTGAGATAGGTTATAAATATAAGTGTTATAACCTAGAAAATGTACCAGCCAAAAATATAAAGATATAGTTATTAGGGCTGAGTCTGTGTGCCACTCTCTTGAGAGTTGGTTTGTGCTCTCACTCAAAAGCCTTTAGGTAATGAGTTGAGTATTGTTCTTGAAGGAAGCTTGTAAGCAACTCCAAGTTGTTGTTCTTAGTCAAGAGTCTTGACTAGGTATTGTTTTAGAAGTGAGTCTTCTAATATTGTCATGGAAGTGTGTCTTCTCGTCATGGAAGTGTGTCTTCTGGTTCTGTCATAGAAGTGTTTCTTCCTGTTTTATTCGATCGCCATTTGTGATTAAAGGGGAGTTGAGGAGGGCTTCATATCTAGGTGAGTCTTAGATAGAAAGTATAGCACAGGTAGTGATTAAGTGAGAAATTGTAAACGGAGAAGTTTAGCTTCAAATTGATACTATTATAGTAGACTTTATTCCTGACTTGGTATGCCCTCAGAGTAGGAGAGTTGCTATGAACTGGGTTAACAATTTATGTGTGTTGTTTATGATCTTTCAGTACTATTTTTATTATTTATATCTTGTCTGTGTTGTTTATGTCAGATCAGATGTCCTAACATGTCATAGGACATCTAAAGTTCTGACCTACCATAATTTCACATAGATATAAGAAAAGAAACCATGTGAGCCTTCTAGTAATCATAACTAATACCATCAAGAATTAAAGGACGAATAATATATCCTTCTTCCTTAGCATTGTTCATCTTAAATAGAAAAAAATAGATATCCTAGAGCACACCAATCAAAACAAGGTGTCTGCTCTAATGGCAATTAAAATTTTGTTTGATTAATAACAGGATGTCACACACAATGTTGAAATCATGTGCGAGACAAGATGATATAAATTAAGTGATAAAAAATTAAACATATAATAAATAAAATACACAAGAAATTGATAACCAAGTTCGGTGCAAATGTCACTTGCGTCGGAGGGTTGCAGCCTAATGGATTTTTTTTTTACTAATTATAAGTAGTTAATAGTACACAACTATATCATTTGACCTATCCTACCCCAGTGTCATTTTCCTAATACTCCTTGTGAATTTCAACTCAGACTTCTCTAAATCTAAAATCCACACACTTCCACTCAAACACTCTCACAATTATTTGTAAGAATCAATTAGTTAAGATGTGATAAACTTCACAAGTGCATACCAAAAAAATTTTATCTTTCCCAAGTAGAGAAGAATGTCAATGATAGAGTTTTACTCAGATAATACAATACAAAACTCAGCACAACAAAACTCTTCAATGGCGTGAGTGTTCTCTAAAAGGCGTGTTTGTGACAATGAGGACGATTTTTTTATATAGAGATGATATTCCATCCAAAAGGCCCATTAGAATACAAACAAATTCAAATTAAATATGATCTCCATGAGAAGAAATCTTTTATTCAAAGCAATTTCAATTAAATCTTTTCAAGAGCTAATAAAATCTTTTCCAAATAGATGTTGATAATTAAATATTTTTCAACTGAAATCTTTTCAAATAAATCAGTTGAATCTTGAGCGAATAAAAATTTTCTCTAATAAATCTAAATCAAGACAATCAAAATAAATCTTTCCAAAAAGCACACCAGAGAGAAAAATTGGGTCAGGATGTCTCAACAACTTTTTAGTCATCTTGAGCAACATTTTATCTATAAAAATAAATCAATTCATATGTAATACTCTCTTTGTCCCAAATTAAGTGTCACATTTTAAAGAATTATTTGTCCTAAAATATTTGTCACTTTAGCTTATCAATCCAATTTTAATTTATATCTTCCAAATGTATCATCTAATTAATACACTTAATTTATTGTTTTCTCATTTTACATTTAATGCTAATTCAAATAAATTAATAGTTTATCTAGATAATTTATTAAAATTATTATTCTCTCTTTTTTATTTATTACACTTTCTTAATCCGTGTAAAAGTATTAAGATTTTTAATCTGTGTGAAAGTGTCAAATATCACACTTAATTTGAGACGGAGGAGAAGCACTTGAATATGCAATTGTTATGCTATCAATGATTTGATTTTGAATTTAATGCCGATGAAGAAAAAACACTTGCTTAAACTTTCCATATCATGCCAACTCAGATGTTGACAGACCAAATGACACACTTTTGAATTTTTGAAACACAATTGTTAATAATTACAAAAATAAAAAATTATGTTCTTGAGATAAAGATTAGTTTAGGAAGCAATATTGAAGAGAAGGTTTATATCTCTCTGGTTATCATGACTCTTTCTAATAAAAGGATTCTTTTCAAATTTTAATAACAACAATTTTCATTAGCAGTTTCATTTACGATCATCATCAAATATTGAAGTATACCTTCTCTAGTTTGTTTTCTCTCATGGACATCAATACATTGTCATGTCAAGAGTTACTTTAAGACAATACAAGACTTGAAAATATTTTTAACCTACGAGAAGGTTATGATATCAATGTAACTTCAAATATACTATAGTTTAAGAAAATAGTATATTCTCATATGTTATTAAGTATATGAAATTTCCCTCCGGTAAATATTTTTATAATTTCTTTGAAAAGTAAATATTAAATTTTATATAGTACAAGACACATGATAATCATCTAGTGAACTAAATTTTAGAATAAAAATATCAACAAAAAAAAACAAATATTAAAAAAAAATGCTTTGAAAAGTTTGCCAAGTTAAGAGTGATGTAAACGGTTCACGTGAACACAATGATCAAAGTTGGGATTTCATTATTTTCATGAATAACCTTAGAGTGTTCAATCACTTTATTAGACATAAAGTGTGATTGATTCAAACAAATTGCTTAGAAAACAAAAATGTTAAAGATAAGAATCTGGAGTATTACTGCTTAGAAATCCTAAACCTACATTTTTTAGAAAGACCAAGAAAAGTGTTACCCTTTGCCCACAAAAAAAAAGTAAGAAAAGTGTGACCAATATCTCCACGATACAGTATGCTATCCACATCAAAAAGAAACAGTAGCTATGCAATAAAGTATACGTGTGTCTGATATAATCTTATCTTTTATTGCCCAAACAAGAAGCTCCAGAAACTCTCCTTCAATGTGAAGTGTCATCTACAAACTTGCTCAAACTTTCACCTTTTGGCCTAATGGAACTCGTGCCACGGATGAAGCAGCTGCGACAGCAGCAACACGTATTCTGCAGAACTCATCAAGCATTTCACAGCCAGTTAGTTTTAAAAAAAAAAATTTAAAAATAATCTATGGGAAGTAGTGAGAGATTGCGAAGAAAAATAATCTAAAAAAAATCACATCACCTCCTATGTACATCAATATACACATCTGTCTCATCCACAATTTCTTCCTGCATGGACAGAAAAAAATTAGCAAACTTGATTCGTTCTATGAGCTATTCAACATAATGTATTTTCGTGGTTGCACCAATAACACACAACAATCTCTAACTATGTGACACAAGCTTAAAAGTTATGATAATGAAGATGACTAAGTAAATGGATAACAGTGATGTCAATTGTGGATTGTGGAAAATAGCAGTTTGTTTAAATTTTGCTACGCTACAATGCTATAGCGCTGCTATTTAACAACCCTTTGAACTAAATAGTGTATCGCGGAACAATAGTGATCTCTTCAAATTTAGCTACTCAGTAGCACCCCTATTTGACAATACTGATGGATAACCAGGTTTATTGCATATTTAGGGTAAGTAGGACTACCTGCAGGAGTTCCTCGAAAACATCTTCCAAGGTTATGATGCCAATAACTTCTCCGTCTTTATCATAAGGAAAGTGATGGAAACAATTTGGCGGAGTTTCATTTTCTAGGCATTGTTGGTCGACATTGTTGGCATCATCACATCCTCCATAGTTTTGATGCCTAGAAAGCTTGTCAATATCGATAACATTGTTTGATTTCTCATAAGACCCGACTAGCAACGGCACAGTCAGTTCAGAACTATGTTTGATGAATACTTCATCTTTGGATTTGTCAAAGCCACTAGCTACCTGAGGGTTGTTTTTCTCTCTTCTAACCTTGACTACAGCTGCCATATGACTGCTACCTTTTTGAAACTCGTTGAGGATATCATATAAAGGCATATCTGCTGGAACCCTGAGTTATTCATGAATAATAGTTTTGTTCAATTAATAAGTTATGAAAGATGAAATGAAAAGGCACCATTGGTCAAACCTAGGAATTTTCCGGATGGAGACAGAACTAACTGGACTCTCTGTCTCAGCTCTTATGGTAAGAAGATTTTTTACCTAGCAGAGTGGTAGCAAACAGTTTTTAGCAGCAAGTGCCAACAAAACAAATTCGATTAAATATTTTGAGTGCAGTGCAGGTAATCAAACTTACTAGTAAGATGCCAATTATATTTTTGGGGTTTCCACTGTATACAGGGATGCGACTATGACCTCGTTCAAGAATTTTCCCAATTGCTTCCCTGTGATAAAATAAATTGGATATGAGGAAGAAAAATAGATGAACTTTTTGTGACTTCTATATAGATGTGTACAGAAATGCTTACAGAAGCAAACGCACCAGTCCAATTTTGAAGCAACATCCAATGAAAAAGTTGACTCGATTGGCGTCATAGCTTCCTCTGCAGTCTGCATAGCAATATAGAAAAAGTTTCTATAATAGAACAAAGGCAATATAATATAAATTTGTGTTTAAATATATATTATCACCAAAACAATGGATGAGCTAGGAAGAGAAGTGAAGTTATAACACATCCATAGACAGATATCGCTGGTAAAGTTATGGTAAGGCAATCAGGAGAACCCCCGATTAATCTCATCAGAACGAACAATTGAGCTAATAAAGTAAAGGGACTGATACTCAGTATCTACCTTCAGAGTGAGATCTAGTGCTCCACTGATGATTGTCGCCTCATCATGTGTGAGTTCACCTCCTTTACCAGCCTATAACAATCAAAAGAATGAATTCAAAGGAGATAGAAAGAAATTTGAAAATTTGACAAGATGAAATTAGCAGCATTCCTTGATAAAAGCAAAATGTTTTAGCATGGTAGCATATTAGAATCCAATTATTAGGAAATTGTACAAAACCCTTACGTTGATTCAAAAGCATTACCTCTTCGCTATGGATTGAAACAAGGGCTTTCAATTGTGCTCGCCTAAACAGTACATCATGGTGTCCAAGCAAAACATCCAGAACCTAGAAGCACCAAGGTTATATATAGTATAAGCTCCATAAAAACCAAATTTTGTTGCAAATAAACGTAACCAAATCCAAATTGTTCCAAAACAACCCTTTTACCACAGGGCATGCTGTTATGAACACCACAGAATAAAAAATACCTATTTGAACATAAGCGCATTCATTAAATAATTAAAATCACAACAACAATAAGAAACAAAATTCAACTGCGAGTATAAAATTGTCCACCCCCTTCAATTAAATCAATAATTTAGACAGAAATTAATATTTACCTTTCCAATAGGGCAAGCAATCGGATAGCAAATGATCATCAGAACGCGTACAAGCCCAACAAATCTGGAACCAACATAGAGTCCATATCTCGTGCATATAGCTTGCGGGATGACCTAATCTCATGTAACAACGCATCAGTCAGTGCAATGTTCTGCTTGACTATGACGCAAACAAACTCAATTGAAAAATTACCCTACCTCTCCAAAAGACAGAACAAAAGTTACTGATAACACCACTGCTACAAAAGGATGAAATATTTTATCAAGGTAAATTGGAAGCGCCTGCAAATACAAAATAAGACACAAAAACATACATCCAATCATATTTTACCATATTGTCAGTTTGTTATACTATATACTAAAACAGATTGATTTTGATTTGTCTTTTGATATAGAAATAATAATAGAAAAGCACACGGACACAGACACGTCTTTTGTCAGAAGTGTGTGTGATACATCGTAACGAAATAATGAAAATAGAAATACCTCCATGGCACAAGCATTACAAAGAAGCAAAGTAACAAGCAGTTGGTGTTGTTTTTGAAGAACAGGAAAAATAGCGGCTGCAGAGTGAAGAGTGATCAATAAAAAAGAACATAGTGAGTGAGTGAAAGAAGAGAAAGCGCTGCGTTAGCACTACCAGCTTGTTTTTTCTCGGTGGAAGAGCCACTCCTTTGGAGAATTTCAAGCTCAACAGGACGGAAAGACATTAAGCCAAGGGTGAGTCCAGACATGATACCGGCAAAGATAACGAGAACACAAGAAATTCCGGCATAGATAAACCACCAAACGGTGCCGAACGGAATGTCGTCGGCGTCGTACACGAAGGAATTTCCGGTGAGATTTGGAGGGGACATTTTTTGGGGGCTGTAACTCATAATTGTGAAAGTAATCGGTGCATGATTTCGTCAGTTATAGCGATATGTATCTTTTGTTGTTTACTTCAATATTAATACTACCTACCATTCTACCAACATATATTGCTTGCGGCATGTGTCATGCACTTGGACTATTCATACCATAAATACTATAAGTTTGTAATATTTAAATAAAACTTTAGAATATGAGTTATAAATATACTTTTTATATCTTACCATTTATTTTCAAATAATCAACTTTTTTATATTTTTTTCTTTCGCAATCTGGTTTTCAGGGATATGGCCTCTAATAATTTAGAGTTTGTGTTGGTCAAATTTTTGTTCTCACCTAAGAATCGAATTCGAAATACTAATATTATTATATTTAAATAGAATTGCAAGGTGGAAAATTTTGTAAACATATTCTAACGACGCGCTTGATCATAACGGTCATCGGTTTCAAAATTTTGTGGTGCCTTTCATTGTTGATTCTGCACACAATTTCCATAAGTGTGGTTGTTGTCACCCAGGATTCACCTGAGGTGTTTGGTGCCTCTCAAGATTCACCTGGGATGTTTGGTCTGAGGTCCTTGGAATATTAATCATATCAATTAAATCTAGCATCTCTTATCAGTTACATGCATTGTCGTAATCGAGTTTGGTGCTCATGTTGTCAAAGTTGGGTCGTGTTAGTTTGGTTTAGGTGGACGGGATGTTTGGTTGAATTGGGACATTGATTTATTTTAGAAATGAAACAATGGTTGTTGTGGTTTTTGATAGGCATGTGTTGGTTGGGTGCTTTGACGGTGTGATGTTTGGGTGCTTTGGTGGTGTGATGTTTGGGTATATATTGATTGGGGGCTATGGTAGAATGTGGTTGTATCATATGCCTCATCGGTGCTACTGTAAGATGTGATGGTGACATATGTTTATTGGTGGTATGGGTCATGCTCTTGGTTTTGTGTTTGGGTGTGTGGCATAAATTGGTCGTGGATTTGGGTGTATGTGGTTTAGTAATCCAGGTTTAGTTTTCGTAATAACGATATTTCTCGATTTACAATAAATAGAAGATCAAATTTTATGCATTTCAAAGAGAGAATTGAGGGGAAGTTGAAGACTAGTCCAGTTTACCAAATTATTTACAAAAATCCAAATATATTTGACAATAAACAAGTAAAATATTTTTAGCTAAAGGTTTGAGATGATGAAGATATTCAAAATATGTTTCGAACTCATGAACATCTCAGGTTCAACAATATTGAGTTGTATATTTTACTACAACAACCTCGATAGTCTCAAATCATTGATTAATCAGAAGTTTTTAATGAAACAAGCAACGAAGACTAAGTTGAAGTCGATGTTGTTGGCGATGAAGAAGAAGATGAGACACTAGTTGATTACATGGTGAATGATGACTCTGAAGACCACGAGCAAGAGCCATTACCTTCGAACCATGTGTATTGTCCGTTTGAGCACATGACAAACTTGAACTTGGATGAAGATGAACCATCCTCAGATATCTTTTATAACCTGTATATGCAGACAGATTGAGCATTAAAAGTAGGAGACATGTTTCGTACGAAAAAAAATATTGTGTGAGAGCTATAAAAATGTTTCACATGAAAAACTCAGCTAATTATACTATAGATCGCACTGATACGAAGAGGTACATCATTTTGTGTCGTAACATACTCTGCATGTTTCGGTCGATAGCAACTTTGTAATACAGTGGAAAAACTGACTTGGTTGTTTTGCGTTTGATCGCAATTATTGCGGATAGCAAGAGTCGCCACCGTCTTTTCTTTTATCCAATAAAAGAAAGGGTGAAAAGAACAGGAAAGACCTTTGAGATATTTTCTTGAGTTCGGGGGGTAGGTTATGAAAAGGGAAGGTGTTAGCACCCTTTTCATCCATAGTTATCTATGGGCTCTTAGTTGCTTGCTAGATCACTTGAAAAAATGTTTTGTTTGAAAATGTGCTTTGTGGTGGGTTTTGAAAGTATTTTTGAAAAGCGCCTTCGTTGAGGCAAACTTTGTAATGATTCTCGTCTCTATAAGAATTCATACAAAGTGTTGGACTTTTTGAAAATAGTTCAAAGAGATGTTTGTTTTTGAAGATATTTTGAAAGTGTAAGTATGGAAATGGTTTTAGTTTAAGAGCAAACAACTACGAGCGTCCTACCTACTCATAAGTTCTATGTTATTTTCCTCCTCCTTTAGATGTTGCTATCTTACCATTGAATTGATAAGAAACCCCATCGTTGGATGTGAAGGGACGGGCGTGGATCATCGTAGAGTCATAGAAGGCAATCTATGAGACGTTTTAGCAATTTTCGCAAGGGACTAGATCGTTTACCAAAGGCAACATCGAGGGACATCAAGGGACTACGATCTTTTGTCGAGGGTCTTTGCTAAAACACCCATATTCAAGGGACATGACTATTTTCCGAGGTAACAAGTGAGATTATCCTAGAGGTGCATGTGTATGAATAGTGTGTTTGATTGCATGCATTTTTGTCTTGAATTTAGGGTTGTCTATTTGTAGATTTTATCTTGCCATACACACCCTAAGTTACTAGCATTTTATATAAAAGCAGTAAATTGCAGAAAAATAAATGTCCTACGCTATTACATATTTTGGAGATGGGGTGTACAAATTTACAAATGGGGATTTGCAAGAAATTAAATCCTAATTATCTATTACAACCATATTGAATTTGTACAAGAATTGAAAGGAATATAATGTACAAGGCAAAATGAAAAAAAAGGAAAAGATTTGTTTTTGTTTTTGTTAAGGATATTTAATTAATTTAAAGAAAAGAATATAAATAGGAAAATATTTTTGGTCTTTTTCATTGTAAGAAGTTAAATAAAATAGACTAAATAACTTAAATATATTTTTGGTATTTTTGTGTAGAAAACAGTTTTTTTTTAAAATAGTTTTTGTGTTAAAAAAAACTGTTTTGTGTTTGAAAACAGTTTTATGTAGAAAATTGTTTTGTGTTTGGGCCCAGGGTCTTTGTTAGTAAACATGGGGGTTCAAAAACTGGAAATGTCATGGCCCAGCCAATGGAGACCCAAGCGTGCTTCCTGCAAATAAGGCAAAGTGAAAAAATATGAACAAATGATAAAAGGTTTCGCTAGGGCTTGAACCCAAAACCTTACACAAAAATGCCTTTCGCATGCTGTTTGTACCACTGGGGTGGTATGTTTCATCTGTTAGTTATATAGTATGCACTAAAGATAAAATGAACTCATGGCTTCATCTTTTTCCTTCGAGCGCAGGGATGTCTAGCTTATTTGTTAAGATTTGAAAGACTTCACCCTCATCCAATCGAAGGATGTAAAAACCTGCCTAACATGTGAATACAAGCCTAACCAGAACTTTCGAAAGCTACTAATCAGGGGTTAGCACAAATTTGTTTGGTACCAAAATCAAGGCCTAACTAGTCAGAGTTGAAATTCTCAACGTATAAGCAGTGATAATTAAAATTAAGAGCATGTTCAACTTCCTAAATATGATATCTACATTTTTCTTTTATTTGTATATACAAATGATGTTTGAATGAAAAGTTCCAAGTTTAAGAAAACTTACCTCTTGGAGAGAAACTTGAGGTACTTCGACAGAGCCTCAAGGAACAGTTTGATGATGGATTATGCCTGTTGGGACCTTTCTTGAACTAATGGGACCACTTCTTTACTTGAATCGAAAGGATGGTATGGGGTATGCTGAGAGTGAATCAAAAGGTTGATATATGGAAGTCGGAGAGTGAATCAAAAGGTTGATATATGGCCGTTAGGGAGTGAATCGAAAGGTTGTTATATGGCAGTTAGGGATTGAATCGAAAGGCTGTTATATGGCAGTTAGGGAGTGGATCGAAAGGCTCACTAAGGCATGAAGGGGTTTGAGATTTTTGAGGGTTTGAGAGTTTGAGAGTGTTTGATGATTTTTTCCCACCCAATAAAAGTCTCTCCAGCTACTAAAAATCCACCTTAGATGTGTTGTGAAACATCTTATTTATAGATGAAGTTTGGCTGGGGTTTTGGAGGGAAAAGCAAATGAAATTTGAACAAATTGGGTATGCTGTCTTCATAGCTTTCGAGCTGCAGTCTTGTATGCCAATTTGGTGCAAATATGTGAGCAGCATAGCAGGACTACTTTGCAGCAGTTTTGGAGTGTTGTGGCAGCTTGGTACAGGACTGTTTCACAGCAGACTGTTTTTGACCAGACTCATAAAAAGACTAAAAACCAATTGTGTGTCCTTCGAATGGACCAATTGTGTGTCCTTCGAAGGGGACAAATGTATGTCCTTCAAATGGACCAATTGTGTGTCTTTCGAAGGGGCCAAATATATGTCCTTTGAATGGACCCTATGTGTGTCCTTCGAATGGGCCAAATGTATGTCTTTCGAATGGACCATATGTGTGTCCTTCGAATGGGCCAAATGTATGTCTTTCAAATGGACCATGTGTGTGTCCTTCGAATGGGCCAAATGTATGTCCTTCGAATGGACCATATATATGTCCTTCAAATAGACCATATGTGTGTCCTTCGAAGGGGCCAAATGTATGTCCTTCGAATGGACCATATGCCTGTTTTTCGAATGCGCCAGTTGTATGTTCTTTGAATCCACCAATTGTAATTCATAGTGTAGAAACTATGTGTGTTGAAGGGTTTAGAGGTGGAATTGAATCACGAGGGGATTCCTTGCCTTGTGAATCGAAGCAAACATGTAGGAGGCCACTGCTTTTTGAATCAAAGCAAGCATGTAGGAGGCCACTGCTTTGTGAATCGAAACAAGCATGTAGGAGGCCACTGCTTTGTGAATCAAAGCAAGCATGTAGAAGGATATTGCCTTCTGAATCGAAGCAAACCTGTAGGAGGCCATATGCCCAAATGAAACTTGTGGATCAAAACTTGATCGAAGGAGGCCAAATGGCCAATCGAAGCTTGTAGACCAAAGCTTGATCGAAGGGGACCAAATACTCAATCGAAGCTTGTGGACCAAAACTTGCTCGAAG